TCTCGAAATGTTGCAATATATTTCTCAAAAAGATTATCCGGTTGTAGGATTGCTTACTCCTGGTATTTATAATTCAGCTTATTATGAACATTCATACCTTGCTTTACAAATGGGTGTTGAGCTGGTATCAGGAGTTGATCTTGTCACAAAGGATGATAAAGTCTTTATGCAGACTACAAAAGGTCTGCAGCAAATAGATGTGATTTACAGAAGGATAGATGATACTTTTCTGGACCCGGTAGCTTTCAACCCGGCTTCCATGTTGGGAGTGCCCGGCATCTTCAATGCTTATAAAAAAGGAAATATAGCCATGGCCAATGCGCCGGGTACAGGAGTGGCCGATGATAAAGCCGTTTACGCATATGTGCCTAAGTTAATCAAGTATTTTTTAAATGAAGAACCCATATTGGACAATGTCCCTACGTATCTGGCAAGAAACGAAGAAGACAGAAAGTACATACTGGACAATATCGAAGAGCTCGTGGTCAAAGAAACCAACTCTGCTGGCGGATATGGTATGATGATCGGCCCCAAATCTACCAAAGAGGAGCATGCCACATTCAGAAATCTGGTAAAAAACAATCCTGACAACTATATTGCTCAGCCGACTTTGTCATTGTCCACTGTTCCGAGCTGGATTGATGATCATTTGGAGCCCAGGCATGTTGATTTGAGGCCTTACATATTGTATGGTGAGGATATTGAAGTTATACCCGGGGCTCTGACCAGAGTGGCTCTTAAAAAAGGATCACTTGTTGTGAATAGCTCTCAGGGCGGAGGAAGCAAAGACACCTGGGTACTTTATTAATTTTTTTTAAATTTATATATGATATGTTAAGCAGGGTTGCTAATTCTATTTATTGGATGGGGAGATATCTCGAAAGAGCGGAAAACTATGCCCGCTTCATGGATGTAAATTTTAATCTTATGCTGGACCTTCCCAGAGATCAGAAAGAACAATGGTTGCCACTGATTCAGGTCACAGGTGATTACGGATATTACTCGGAACACTATACCGGGTATGACAGAAATGATATCATCCACTTTATGGCATTTGATGAGTCCA